ACATTATATAACATACCCACATTTCTTACTAGTGATTAAATAATATTCGACCATGTAAACTCAAAAGGATACAATTTGGCGTACATAACTTTATTATTATTGTTATTATTATCATTATTATTATTATAGTTCAACTGTCATGTTCAGAAAATACCATTTTTCAAGCAATACAGATCAATTATGCATAAAATATACTGAGTGAATGACTAGAGAGGCTAGATGTTCCGTAAAATAAGTACAGAACATATATTTTGAAAACAAAAGTTTTGTTGGGTTGTACCCCAAAAAAGGTTGATAGATGTATCAATTCATTTATGTAGGTGGCTATATGTTTATTACAGTCACACTAACACACTATTTAAGTTATTTATTGAAATTCGAAGTTGTACATAGAATTACTGGTGTTTTCTCATTGTAAGCATTTAGTATTAACTTAAAAGGAACGAAATTTTAGGACTAATTCACAGTTCTAAACGGATAAAATTCTTACCACATATCATTGAAACAATTTCAACATTACATAAATTGGAACTACCTGAACAAAAACCAAATAATATTCAAGCTGTGTGGTTCATACTAATATTTATCCATACTAATTGCCAACTACGGAATCGGTGGATTGACAGAAATGAAATCGAAACCCATCGTAATCATAAACACTGACTATAAGGTGATCATAACCTCGAAAACATTAAGATACCACTAGCACTGGTATTCAGCTTCCGTTCAACAAATCAAAATAACACTTAACAAATGAATACTACTTTGATTTATTCTTCATAAATAATAGATCCATTTAAGTATTGTTGCATTACTATTGTTTATCTGGGAAATATTTCTCCACGTACGAACTACATTATATAATATTCTACCTAAAGTTACGTGGTGATATTATCAGTATTTACTTTATTCGTCGAATTATTTATCAGAATAGAAAGTGTGACTAATGAAATACTTGTGAAATCAGTTGAAGAGTAATTATAATAATGAGAGTTCACTAAAACTGATGTAATTCTTAGGTATTACACACTTGTAGCAAAGTGATTGTCAAGACTATGATTTATGGACGACCTTTGAACAAAGCTTAAGTGAACTTGAGAAATACTAGCCAATCAGGAAACAGTTAGTATAGATAAAAATATATTAAAGTGGATGCACATCTTCTACATGGTTCAAAAACTTGTCAAGGTTAGGAAGAGGTTCGGAGGTTCTAAAATCGTGATGCATACGGTAGACAAGCTCATGCATAATAGTCGGCGTCTCGAGCCATAAGTTCGTAAAAACTCCTTTAGCCTAGACCACTTAGCTTCAAAATTGTTAGTGTACACTCCTGTTGTAGGGTGGATAACGACATGATGCACATAACCAAGTCCATGGAGGCATCTGTACACTCTCCAATCATCTGTATATATTGTAGTGTCTATTTGCACATATTCCCGTATAACTGATATTGTCGTTGCCTGTCGGTTTCTGACCCGTTGGAAGTGTCCCTTTTGGGATGACCTGTCGTATATTCCAAGGACCTGCGAGGTATATTTATGGAACTGCTATTTACTCAGTCTTCTTTAATACTACGTCCTCTGTTAAATTTTCGTTTCCTGACTACTGTTTCGTCTATTTCGATGACTCTCCCAACTCCACCAAACGACTCATGTAAGCTTGTCATTTTTATTGCAAATATATCTCGACAGTGCTCACACCAATGAGCTCCCGGAGCTTCGGTAACATCTACAAAGGTTCCAGCCAGTGTGACTGGTGCTTTTACTATCCAATTCGCAACAGTTATCATGATTTGCCTTAGTCTCAATCGGGATCGAGCGAAAAAATTTTCTGTTATAGCAGACTTCTTCCAACATATATTACGTCGAAAGACAACCTAATCATGGTAGTCTGCACACGGTACAGCAGTGATTTGATTACCACAGTCACAAATAAAAGAAACTTCTCAGTAACTCAATTTGTTGTAGCCGCTCAATTATCACATCTCTAAAATCCGCTGTAAACTGATCGTATGTGAGCATCAAGTACTGAAATTGGCGCCGTGACCTTGAAATCCCTCAAACGCTTCTGATTGACTCATCAACAAATTATAGTCTCGCTAAGTGATTGACTAATCAACTGATAAAAAAACTACAAACGTAACTGATTACCAACGAATAATTGTCGTTTGATGGTATCATGTATAGCTACTCATATGTATCATATCAATAAAAACATTTAAAATACATTTCTAATTAGGTATTCAAGAAATATAGTCAATTGATTTTATTAATTTGTGACGGTGCTATTAGAAGTGTTATCAAGTCACCAAAAAACCCATTTTAATTTTTCAAATTAGCACATTGGAAATATAATACTGAGATAAGCCAATCAGTTGGATTCAGTGGGTTCGTAGTATAGTCGATCCCGTTGTTATTTTAAACCATTTAGTATCATAAACTCAATATTAGTTTAATTTTCACGTTTAAAACAACGGATTATTCCGTCCAGCAAGTGTTCAACATCAGTGGTGAGATCCGGTCCTTTTGATGCAACGAAAAACTTAAGTTGCGTAATGCACGAGTAAGAATATTTTAGTCAAAAATAATGAGTCAACAAAAATAGACTAATATTACTTAAAGTCAATGAATCTAATACCACTTTGATTATTCTTTTACATTGTAAAAATTATTCAGAAACAACAAATTTACTTATCACTCACAGTGAGATTTAACAAAAAAGAGATTAATTTGTACTTGGATTTGAATAAAAACGCAATTTTTCCTTTATTGATATTAGCTGTTCAACTAAAAAATAGATTTGTAATGTCAAATTATGCATTAATTACATGATTTAACTCTGATAAATACTTATTGACTTGGTGGTTAAGACAATTGTGGTTCACCTGTTAGGTTGTAAACTCGAATCGCTGCTTCGTTTGGGCAACCGGACAGTATCCCGAAATCTCATACAAACAATGTGGCTCGAATTCAAGTACATAAACGTGTACCAGGAAAATGAGTTACATTATTTATTGCTTATGTATCTAACTATAACATCATATGCAGAACTGAAATAATTTTAAGATTTATATTTATGATTATTGCAAGAAACTAAACGATTCTGTGATTTTTACTTCAAGTTTAATAATGTCACTTGTATTGTAATCATTATATAAACACTGAACAAAGTTTCCTAAGGAATATATATTTATCTGTAATGGAAACCTTCATTTATATTTTGCTCATCAATAGTACTTCTATGAATTAGCCTATCTTGTTTCCGAAGACACTAATAAGTTAACTACTCTATGTAGATAATCTAATCTATTGTGAATTTGTCTGAGACGCTTTTTTATGAAGACAACTGTATAATTGAAAAATGGTTTATCTTCAAAATGGAGCCATGCAAACCTGGTGAAATAACTTCATTAATTGATGACAGATATAAGTATTTGGGCATAGATAAACATTTATAATTTGATAACAAAATTCTTTAGTATTTAAACAAATTAAACAACTACTATGTTTTTCTGCACGGCATTCAGCTGTATGATAAAAATGAAAACCCCCTAATTTAATGTGAATACATCAAAAGCTGAAAATAACATCTATCAGTCTAAAATCACACAAGATGAAAAATTTTCTATGCCAGTTACTAACTATAGTTCAAAAAGTTTTTTTTTCGCATGACTGAAATGAAACATTTACTTATCAATAGAATAAATATTTACCAAAAACAATTGTCGGTTTTGAAGTACATATAGACTAATCGAATGTGTATAATAACATTCACATTTTTCTTTGAAGTTAATTGTTTTGTATCACTTTAGAAAATTTCAACTTTTAGACTATTATTTATGTAGAATAAATATATTAGTAATTATGCGAAAATTAAAATTTTTAATTTATTTATCTACTCATAAACAGATTACCAACATCAGATAATCTAATCTGTAATAAACATAAAACATCTGGTTGTATTAATCTAGAGTTATCAATTACCGATTGTTTCAACTTTTATTTACTACATATCTTAAGTGAAAAGTAAACCAGTAGTAGGAAAATTCCCACTCCAACATTCACTAAAAAGCAAGTAAAGAAAAGAAATAATTATATATATATATATATATATATCACTTATCAACATAAATTTTTCTTGTCTGTTGTAACTTTATGCAATTTGTTTACTCCATGTTATATGGTTTAAATATTAGCTGGAAAGCCCTGGACCTATGTTTAGTCCTAGTTTATATTCATCAGTAAAGCATACCTGCAATCTTGAGTAAACTAACATTCCTTTTAATAGTGGAACTTAAATCATCTAGTATACGTATAAGAGATGTTAGGACTGACAGACGTGGATAGTGACTGCTCTGCTTTTGGACTTAAACTTTTACAATAATTAATCACTGAGTACTAATCAATGTTATAAATGTCTGAACCTTAGTACTCACCGAACACAATCTACTCAGTTCAAGGTTTCGATAACTCAATCAAACCTAGATCTAGGGCTCCCAGTCGATTACCTCTCACCACCTATCATAAAATTGCACTTGATTTTGATCCACCTCGACTACTGACTGTATTGAAACATAAATGATAAGATTATACTAACATTGAGTGCTAGACAAGCATCATAGTGATCATACGGTGTATCATGTTTACTCGTTCGTCACATAGAACTCAAAATTGGAATTTGTACTTGTAATCTCTAATGTAAAACTTGATTTAAATGGCTCACACCAATGTTCAAAAGCATTAAAACTACTTAAGTTATGAGGACTAATTATTTTCTTTGTAAAACGGATATGCACCTTCATTAGCTATCTACTGGTCAAAAGTAGCTCACAAATATTTATTCAACAACAACCTTATCATTGTACTTTGCATTTATTGCACTCAATCTGACTCATCCTTTAATTTTTCTATCCACACTCATCACTAAAGAATATACAACTCTGCACAGATACTTCCTAACCCATTCAACATTAGCTTATCCATCACTCAATAGGCCATCTTAGTCGATAGAATTTATTGACAAATAAACCACTGTTCTCTTTATTCATACATGTAAGGCTCATATGCATGAGACATTTGAAGAGTAAATGAATAATAGTTATCAATAGCACCAATTTTAAAGTCTGAAGACGTGTTCAGAATAACTTACCTTCACTTCAAATTCCTATAACATACATTTCTGAGAATTATTAGGACATATTTGTCTCAGGACTGAAAATAACAGTATTTGAAACTTTAGGAAAAACTCCCATAAGAGTTCGATAAGCTTTAAAAGATTGTTTTATGTTTGTCACTGTCATTTCTATTGGTTAACTATTATTGACGTAAGGAAATTATTGAGGAAACTTTATTTAAATGGCTCACACCAGTGTTCAAAAGCATTAAGAATTATTGTGATTGTCGTAATCTCTTGTCGCTAAAATGAAATTAAAAATGTATAATTAATTATATCTGTCAGTTATGATCAGAATACGTGTGTTTTAGGTAAATGATGAAATACCCGCTAATTTTTCAACCCAAAATTCAACTGTCTCTACTGTAAAATTACATTTTTTATTAACGAATGGGACGATCTCACTGGACACCTCTACAGCATTTACATCAAGGTAACCAATGCATTTGATTCTTAGTGGAAGCATAAACACTAGAATGTAAATACATTTAGCAAATTACTCTAACGTATGATGAACATTCCAGTACATTTATTCTGCCTATATTTAATGAAACATCATTCTGAGTGAAATGATGTTTATATATACAATTACTGTAAATTAGACCATTCTATTAAGCATAAATCATTTATGAATAGAAAAAATTTATCCTGTTTATTTTTTTTCAAAAAAACGTTCTGTAGACAAATTAGGCAAGAATAATGCGAAATCATGGAAACGAAAATGTGAAAATTGAAATTCTACTATTGATAAAAAAAGAGATAAGCACCAAAAAGAGTATCAAAGCCAGTGTAGTATTAAAAGTATACATAACTTGATGCAATTACATAAAAACTCTTTAAACTCATTGTTTTTTATTGCGTGAGACACTTTAAATACAGATACAACAAGTAACTACAAATTAAGAGTACATTGTGTTGAGGATTATCAATTTTAAAAAAGTAGAGCATACATACACTGAATAATAATGTCTGTTGTTCGAGATTTCCTCCTAAATTTACCGACTTTTCATTTTAAACAGAATAACAGGCGGTATAAATAAGCCAACAGAACAAATAGTTATGATAATATTAGCTATTTCTGCGCTACTTGTATACTGAAATGCATATTGTAATAGACTGAATATACCACCGATTGAATTTAATACACCACATACTGTTCCGAAGTAATGTACAGGAAAAGCAGTCAAGCAAAAGCCTACAGATGCACTAAATAACAATGAACGTAGCATAACAAAAAACAGAAATGCAAAATAATAAGCCACACGATTCGGTATGAATATTAAACAACTTATGAGCATAGCACAAAATGCCATAAAAAGTAGTGCAGGCGCTAAACCGAATATATATGTATAATAAATTTGATTTTTATGATGCTGGTCATTTATATTATAGTCATTTCGCATAATTTTTCGCCTACAATAGGCTTGCGATATATCCATTATGAAACCAGTAATTGGAGCGGCTAAAAATCCACACATTGAAAATGCTGATGAAATTTGCAATAGATGATCAATGGTTATTATGTCGTTTGGAAACAATTCGTTTATGATACGTTGTAATTGTCCAAGAAATGTTGAAAAACGAAATAATCCAAGCATAAACCATATTGTAATAAGCAAGAATGGTAGCGATATTATACAATCTTTTATTGATTGATAACGGAGGTCTATTATCATTTTGATTCTTCTAGATACTTCAATATTTTTTGCCTCTTTATCCAATGATGGCTGAAAATGAAAGTAAATAGTCAAACATGAAAGATCATGATCAGTTAAAAATAAAAATGTGATGGACAATTACTTTTTAATCTGCCTCGATAGTTTTAAATTGTAATGAGGAGTTTTATGTTTCTCATTAGTGAAGTTTATATTTCAATTGGTGTGTTAAACTCAAGCGCAAACTTTTTATTAATACTAATAGCAACAGTTGTATTGATAGCAATATCAGCATAACATAGGCTTAACTATATTCATCTTATATTTCAATCCAAGCAATCATCACGTCACTTTGTCAGGTAATATTATCAATCAATATTATTCAATGAGATCATTTGACAACATTCATAGGAAGGAAATTTTGGACATTTAACTTTTAAACAGTATTGATGAACTCATCTACTGAACATTTATCTGCTGTTTTTCAAGATTCAGTCGAAACATTTAGTCACAGTTAAAGTGAGAGCAAACATAGTAAACATCAATAAATAATTACAAATCCATTGATCAACCACTGTTGTTATAATTATTTTTTTCTACAATACACCGATACTGAAGAAAAAGTACCAGTGTCCATGTTGTTAGTTTTTACCATGCTAAAACTCATGTTACACCGAATGGTAGCTCACATTTTTTCATAAGATAACTTTATAAGCAACTTCAGTGGGTCCATAATTTATGGACGACCTTTGAGAACGTCCATCTACTAACTAGGACTAAGTAAGTTATAAACTAGTGTGAGGAAATAGAATTAGGATTTAAAGTTAATGGTTATCTATTATTTATTTATTTATTTGAACACATAAATATTGGTAAAAGAATGCGCCAAATATGTATGCGCCACAACTGTTCATCGCAAACGATGGACAGTTAATGGTTACAGTTAGAAATTAGATTTAGGGCTTTAGTCACGAATTGATATCGACTAAAATGCCAAAACGCTATTTAGCCAAATGGATGAGTGAATTTTGCGCTAAAATCCAAGATCTGTTATCTTATGTCTGATTGATTCGTCCATAAGTTGTGGTATCGCCGTAACTTTCAAAAGAAATTTATTTCATTCACAAATTATATTTAACAATATAATGTTCAACATATATATTATCAAAGCATCATTTGTATGTGGAGATATGATAAAAAAAATGTATATCTACTTTAAGAGGATCGTAGCTAGAGGAGAAACGACAAGTAATGCATCTACCATCCAGTAATTCTTATTCATACCGGAAATAGGTTTTGCATCTAAGTCACTAGAGAGATTGTTTGACAGCATTAGGATCATTCACCTGTATTGATATTCCAATTCCTTGTAAACTTCAATCATCAACCCCACATACTAATACTAAGGTACTTAATATCATTAAACCACAGGATATATCTTTGACGGTATTAGATAATCGGTTGTCACCAGAACGTTTCTTGTCGCCCATACATAGAATGTATTAACAATCTAAAGACATCTAAAACTCGATTATGAATGCTAACAAAGACTTCAAAGGTCCACATATCATCAATACTGAAAAAGAATATAAATAATCAAATGTGTAGTGTACAACTCCGTCTGTAGCTCCTCTAGAGTTACTGCTGATCTCAATCCCGGGTAAAGGAGAGTTGGGCATGAGGTCGGCAACCTCATCCCATAGAAAAAACCTTGTCAGCAAAGAAGCGAACCAGATTAAACAAATCAAACCGTTTAAACTCTACCCCCTGAATTCAAGAAAGAACTATGACGCCTCCGGATGAAAGCTGAGATTATTCGGATGTCGCGAGACCGATCCCTCTTCTAACAACTAGACCAACATTATTTATAGGTAGATGGAACGTCCGGACAATATGGGAGACCTGGAGGACTAATCAAATAGCAGCGGAAATGAGGAGACACAACTTGGCAGTACTCAGAATCAGCGAGTCATTGGACCCAAGTTGAACAGCAAAGGCTAGATATGGGAAAGATCCTGTTGTACTCCAGTCACGAGGAGGAAAATGCCCCCACACACTCAGGGAGTTGCTCTGATCCTACTCAAAGAAGCACGAAATGCATTTATACGATGGGAATCTAATGGATCCAGAATCACCATAGCACCCATCAAAACAATGAAGGCAATCACAAGAAATGTTGTGCACTTACCAATGATAGCAACGACAACGATAAAGATTAGTCCTATGAGAGGCTGCGATCAATCATAGTGAAGTGCCCAAGAAAGGATCTCGCCATCCTAATGAGAGACCTAAATGCCAAAGTCGGAATGGACAACACCGGATATGAAGATATCATGGGACGACACGGACTGACTGGGAGAAACGAAAATGGGGAGAGGTTTTCAAATCTATGCACATTCAACAACTTGGTCATACGTGGCACAATATTCCCACACAAACACACAAAGCTACATGGGTCTCACCGGATCACACCACGAAGAACCAGATAGATCATATTTGCCTCAATAAAAAGTTCAGAAGGACGAAAGAACCAGGAGATCACCACTTGGTTGTAGCCAACATGAAACTGAAGCTAAAAAAATACTGGACAGCTGGACAAACATCATTACGAAGGTTCAATGCAGTGTTCCTTTGATATACTGACAAACTTAACGAATTCAAGATAACTCTGACGAGTGGAACTCATCATTATACATCAACTTCATTGACTATGAGAAGGCATTTGACAGTGTGGATAGGAGGATTTTATGGAAATTTCATCGACACTATGGTGTGAGTATCTGAAAAGATCGTCAACATCATACGGAACTCATACGACAGACTACAGCGCAAAGTCGTGGATGGAGGACAGCTGACAGATGCATCCCAATTAAGGGCCCGAGTCAGACAAAGCTGTTTGTTCTCCTCCTTCCTCTTCCTTCTGGTGGTTGACTGGATTATGAAGACCTCGACATCTGAGGGAAAACACGGAATACAATGGAAAGCTCAGAAATAATTAGACGATTTGGACTTCGCAGATGACCTAGCCCTTTTATCACATTTATTTTTTTTATATTTTAACACATAAATATTGGTACAAGAGGGCACCAAATATATATGCGCCACACCATACTTGTGTGTGTGTGCTGTGATACTGCCCGGGTGCCCAGACCGAAGCAGGCCTCCTATCACATACACACGAACAAATGAAGATGAACACAACTAGTGTAGCAGCAGCCTCTGCATCAGTAGGCCTCAACATACGCAAAGGAAAAAGCAAGATCCTCAAACACAACACGGAGAATATCAACCCAATCACACTTGATGAAGAAGCTCTGGAAGATGTGGAATCCTTCACGTACCTGGGCAGAATCATCGATGAACAAGGAGGACCAGATGTTGGTGTAAATGTAAAGATTGGTAAAGCAAGGGCAGCATCCATACAGTTAAAGAACATATGGAACTCAAAACAACTGTCAGTAAACATCAAAGTCAGATTCTTCAATACGAATGTCAACACAGTTCTATTGTACGGAACTGAAATGTGGAGAACCACTAAAACTATCATAAAAAAGTACAAGCATTTATAAACAATTGTCTACGTAACATACTCCAAATTTGTTGGCTGGCCACTACCAGCAACAACTTACTGCGAGAGAGAACAAACCGAATTCCAGGTGAAGAGGAAATTAGGAAAAGACGCTGGAGTTGGATAGGATATACATTGCGGAAATCAACAAACTGCATCACGAGGTAAGCTGGAACTTGGAATCCTGGGATGAGACGGAAAAGAGGAAGGCCAAAGATCATACTACGTCGAGAAGTGGAAGCAGACATGGAAAGCAACTAGGAAGAACTGAAAAGGATTGCCCAGGACAGAGTTCGGTGGAGAGTGCTGGTGTGCGGCTTATGCTCCTCCACGAGGGGTAACAGACGTAAGTAAGTAAGTGTAGTGTAGAGTAACAAAATTCCAAACCACCCAGTCTACAAACGATGATCCATTTATGTTCCTTTCAATCTAGCTGAATAATTACCAACAATTATGTGAATAATCCTATTTCGACAAACTTCAAAACACATTCCTATTATAAATTGGAGTTTACAAGGTGATAAATATCCTTCCCAGTTCCTACCATCCGAACATTGGAAAGTAAAAACTACAAGTTGATTTAATTATCAAAGTTATCATATTGTCTAAAAAGTATTACCGTGTTTTCATTATTATCCCTGACGCATCCTTGAGACAGTTTCTCCTGTTCACCAACATTCTCACTTGTTACAGCATCGCTAAAGTTGTTTGCAAATTTTCTCATGTCATCTGATCTTGTGGTTAAAATAAATGTAGCCATGAATAGACCAACACATATAGAGACAATCGCTAGGATAATGAATGATTTCTGTAATGAAAACTGTGAATATGTTTCAGAAAGTATAAATGCTATTAGTGTGCTAGAGTCAAAAGCACCAGAGAGAAGAGATATTCCGAACCCTCGATATTTTGGAAACATCGAAGTGATATGTTGATTGCATATAAGATTTGAAGTACTTCCTATAGCGACCAATATACCGGCAATATAATACAATGGTTCTGTTTCCCTATGAATAAAGGCAAATAATAGTGTTCCAACAAAATACATGGTTATAGCTACCAACTTTAAAGCCCTTAATCCAACTTTATCCATGAATATACCAGAGAATGAAATAAGACAATTTTGCGTGACAATCCAAACAATAAAACCATTTCCAAATATAGAGTCATCATATAAACAGGTGTTCGTTGCATTACTACAATTATATGCAGACACCCCTAATGATTTCCAAGCTGGTATAAGGGAATTGAAACCGTAGTAATATCCTCCAAAAAAAAAATAGTTCCAGTATTCCAACAGTAATCCCAACCCATCTTCTGGTTTTTGGTTGACAAAGACCGTCAAGCTTCTGACCTACAAGTAAAATAAAAACTCAGCAAATAATTAAATTCAAAGAGATCGAAAAACAGTTAAATTAAATTTTGAAAAAGAATAACTATATAAGACTAATGATTACTGTCGCTAACGACAGAGACTTTCAGCGACGGGCTTCCAAGACAAATTTTGTTAACGGAGTTGTTTTGAGAGAGAATAAAGTATATTAGGTCTTAATAACAAAAAACAGCTATGTATTTTCGAGTTGACAATTTGCCCATAATTTCAAAAACCAAATACATCCAAGTCATTGATTGAACACCAAGGACTGATAAATAAAGAAGGCAGAAGATATACTAACAGTTTTCTTTCAGATGTCTGTCTTCAAAAATCAGATTTCATACAACACTTCTTCAGTTTAATAACCTATCGAGTCTTTCCCAAAGTTAATACTTTTGTTACGAACTGAAACTAAAGAGAACGATGGTCAAATAAATCCCTATAATCTAGTTTAAAATATCTCAGCGGCTTTCACCTTTCGTTCTGAATGAACATAAGCACAGAAAACAAAGGTTTCGTATATAATTTTAAATGAGACAAATTAGTACATATAACCTCATCATAAGAAAACTGGCTCTTACTGACTAATGACTCACAAAGACAACATAAATACGATAAGTTAATATCAGTAAATGGATTTTCCAAGGTCATTGTGAGGAGCTGTGAACAGCGAAAGATTACCGTGGCACCCTAATAGGTATTCATAAAAACAATAAATGGTGATCGCATTGTATATAACATCTTTGATATCACTCACATAAAAAGTAAAATACAATTTTATCGCCAAAATTTAGCAAGAGATGAGAAAATACCGGTGGCCCGTTATCCTATTTGGTGCTTCATGTGAGTATTATACTGAGTGATTATATGTCATATTGATTAGTAGTTTACTCTCATCTAGACAGTTATCCAGTTACCGAAGTTTTACACTGGAAGATCATAGAAACTACTTCAATTCACTTATATCGTTCACGACATTTCTTGATAGTTGAGAAGACTGGGAATACTTTAAAAAACAAGTCATTGTTATTAAATATGAGGGATTATGATAAATCATTCATGCCTAAGAAATTTGAATCCTATTACAAAAGAGCGTTGACAGATCCGCATCAGCACGAATAAAAAAATCAGTAATACAAAAGTCCGAAAACGCCAAATAAAAGTATCAACGCCGTGCACATTCGGATAACAAAGTAGCTGATATGACGAGTAATAAATAACCTAATCAGTTGGAATGAAAGTGACGTGGAATTAATTTTTTCCATTCGTTTGTGATACGTATTTACATCTTAAGAAGGTTGTTAAAAAAGGTTAGGAAATTGAATTGAGTCTTCATTTAGCAAGACATCAGTAATAAAGATACATTTGCTGTGAGTCATTTTACTCACAATTTCCACAGAACTGACACACTCGCTAGATATGAATGTAATTAATAATGATAGTATTTTTGAGGACCGTTTCATAATTAACCAGTAATACAACGAAATAACTTTTGTTCATTACACCCGAATATAGATTTTACAATGCCTAATGCGAAACAAACGCAAAAGTGAAGTGGGAAGTAAACAATCTTTTTCCAACTAAAGTGGTCCCAACACTCTAAAGTTATTTTTCATTATTTACAACTTGGATTATCTCCGTAGGTTAACAAGATGTCACGGAGCGGTTCTGAACCATTCGAATCCTGAACTTGCAAAGCATGATTCCAGGTAAAACATTTCCGACAATCACTACTAAAATTTCATGCTAGTGACTCTTTGTATAATCTTTTGCGCAACACAGTACTTATGGCTTACTAAATGAATCATAAATAAATTTTAAGATAAACGTAACCACTTGCACTGCAATTGGTAAACTAAAGGTAAAAGTGTTTTTAGGCAGCACATAAGCAGTAGAATTATCATTTGAATTGTAGCGTGGTGTGGAGTTTTGTTCAAGAAGAGCGAATTGCCAGTTAGTATTGCTACATTTATCTACTGAAACATTAGACAATCGGAATCGAAAACCACAGTCATTCAGTTAGCTACGACTCAGAACTAGGCACATATATGCATTGGCTTAAGTTGCCACACCTCACTGACACAACAAGATGAACACCAAATTCATAGTAGTTAATTAAACTTAATTAACAAGGCAACCTGGTTTCGGACTGTCTTCATAAATGGCCTAAGGGTATAAATAACGTAGCACAGTTGCACCAGCGACTAACTGAAATCTGGCTCACAAATAACAATTCTTTAACGAGAAATATCACTGAAAAATGAATTTTTTCTAGGGAAACAACCAGCCACAGAAAACCAAAACCTTTTAATAAACGAGTGGTAAGTTGTTAATCAGTGAGTTTCATGACTCTTTGTGAGCCAAATTACTGGGACTTCATTAGATTAAGGAGTTGTGGTTTGATCCATTACTTATTACTCCCAACCAGCTACTAGCTCTTTAAAAACCTACCACTCAACCTTCTTGTACAAATTTAGTTGGGATTGAGTCCTGTGAATTTTCATGCTAGATTAAGGCGCGAAAAATACCTTTTATATAATACTGAACCTGTAATCACAAGGAACGATCGGAAATGATCACAGCATCAACTGAAACGACTCACTGACACAGGAATATGTAGGAAAATTTCAGAATATGAACCGTTATATATGACAGTTGTAGAAGCATGACCCAGAAATATTCAAAACATTTACTTTCCACCGAGTATGGGTCAGACCAAACCCTAGGCTACCGTTTGTGATTAGGTAGTTCTTTGTAGTTGAAAATCGGTAGGTCAATTTGACCAACCGCATAAAAGTGTAAAGAGGAAATAAAGACATATATAAAGATGCAAGCTATCACCAGCTGAATGTTCAGGAGCTACAAATAGACGACTGAAAAGGAGAATTATCTAGGTTTATGTTTCTTTAAAAATACTGATCGACGCAACATAGCTATAATAAAATATATATTTGTATCCTTTTTAACTTCATCTAACAATAATGAATAAAAATAGGAGACGCTTCTCTTAACAGCACTAAATATTTAAAAGTGAACAAACAGTTCTTAAACTCATAAAAGGATTAGTCTATCTTAAATTTCACCAGACTCACACAAACCCATAACCTCGAAATTCCAATTTTGAAAAGTCACCCGACACAAAAATGTCTATTTTATATCGTAAAATAACCAATTTAAAATTTCGTACTCAAGCTTAGAGAGTGAATGATTCCACGATAGTGTACTGTATTTAGGCTCAGATTGACTTAGTTTTTTCGACTACATAAACACACACCTCCTTAGTTCTCCTATAAGTGTCCAATCAAAATATCCTTTGTCCATGTATACGTTTAAGGTTAACCAACCGTTTTTCGGCCAACAATGGAAGTGCAACATCTAGCGTTTTCGAGTAGTTTCCACTTCGTTTAATTGATGGGTGCTGCTTGTGAGCATGATGATCACTGGGGATTTCATTTCAATCATCCAAATCTACATGATTTCTCTGAAAGTGATGCTAAAGCGTATTCCAACTTCCATAATAAGAGAGCAATTACGACGAAAGTCGAAGCTTAAAATGGAATCTTTAGTGAAAACTATGTCCTAAAATGCAGCGCTCATCCACCATACAAACGTAAAAATGTTGGCAATGAGCATATATTGGCACTGAAAACAGACCCATCACAAATGCACAGGCATATGCCTACTCTCAACAAATATGTTTCAAGTGTTTCTGAATTTCTTGCATCTATGTTCATTTGTATGTATGGGTGAATAGTGGAATGTACGCCGTCACTGTCATTTCTGTGAGCCATGACTGGTACTTGCTTGTTCTGCAATATCCCGTCTATGCTTTTTTTGTAATTACTGATATTTCAGCTGGCTATAATATGTCTACTTATGATAGGTTTAAAAAACCATTTTCCTCTACAGATTCATTCATTCTTACCTTTCTATAGTGGTGGAAATACAGTGAATTGACTTTGCTGTAAGTCTAAATTGTAGTCATCATAAGTACTTCATTCATTAATTTCAAAGTTTTTTGAGTATCCATAATTGAGTCTGGTGTTATTACTATGATTAACCTTAGTCCCGACACAAGACCTTGCTACCTATAGATTGGGAAGTTGTCCTTGTTCACCTTCACTTTGGATAGCCTCAGTTCTTTAGCGTGATCAGAGATGTGGACAAAAACTTCAAAAATTTTTACCCTTTATGATTTCTTTAAAGCGTGTACTTTAACTAATTCAGATGCAATTATCAGCCAACTTTCATGAAGTGACGTTTGTATCAGATTAAGGAGAAGTCTCTATTCTTACAAAGTTCACGGCCAAGTAAGCCAAATGAATAATTCGGAGAGATGTCCCAGTGCTTTTTGATAATGACCACAGATAAATTCCGGAGGTATTAGTGATGGTGCAGGATGAAGCCATATTCCATGTCTTCGGTGCTATACCACAAGGGCGCTGAAAAATGAGGGATAAGGGAAAGGTGAGCAGCAGAACAGATAATGTTCACGACCAAGGAATTGTGATCGCGTAGTTGAGGCAGGACTTCTTAGATTCATTCCATTTCATTAGGCCGATTTCTAAACAAGTATATTTCATCAGGTTAAAGAAAACAGGCGAAAGTATGGCGTTGAATAAATAAAGAGTAGTACAAACGGAAGTGATTTAAAAAAGCTGAAAGTCTTTGATCGTGTACCTTCGATATTTAGCAAGAAAACAGTGTTCGAATACGAACTGGCTGTTTTTCCAAAATTATCATAACTCACTTTTATTTTTGTAACTTCTGTAAAGTGATGCATGGTCTCTTATTTTGCACAACTGTCCAGTTTTGCTTGAAATAGGGTTTCTCGGTGGGGAGTGGAACCGATTCAGGGTCACAAACGAATCAAAGAGGTATTTGATATAAGAAATTAACAACAATACCATTGGTTTACGACATCTCACTAAACCACAAGGAGCCATAATTTAACAGAATATCCTGCTCTACAGACATGGGTGGACTGACGTTATTTCCACACCATCATATTTATAGGGCAGTGACACATTTAGCCACATATATATGGGAAGGAGTAGCCATTTTCTCCAAATTATGGTCCACGAACATATACATAAGTGGTTGATAAAACAAATATAGTCAAATGATCCGATAAGAGTAAATTATAAGCTCCCATCGCCTGATATTGCTAAAAGTACAAAGTTGAAATTAACATGGCTTTTGTGGTGTTGTGTAAACATTTCAATGGGGGTATACTGAGGTTTATTGAGGCCTTAGCCATACGAGAATTCGGACCCCTTTTGTGTTTCCGAAACCGATTTGTTCTCGCCTCAAACCTCCCATGATAATAATAGTTTATTATCCAGCGTGGTGATTTTGGCATCGATTTCCACATTATTTTCCGTATTATATTTGTTTCCTCTTACTTTCCATGTCTAGCTGGCTTTTTCCTACGTATAAATGTTTTTAACAAGTGTATTGAGACAATCTATAACATAGTTCTGGTAATCTCCGTCTTCTTATTACACCATATGAATTTAAATGCGGTCTGCAAACCATTCCACTATTCACTTTTGTTTATATGTACACACAGAACTGAGTCCTGTGACATTACTTGGAGAGATGCTATGCTTCGCATTTGTCAACGTTATGATTTCCGTTTAGTATTTTGCTCTGAAAATCAAAAAATAGGTATGAACGGCCAGCAGTTTATATACACGAGGTTGCTGCCACCTTTACAGCATTCAGAACATTTTGATCTGGAAAGATGCTGTTTTTGAACATGAAACTCGACAAATTGTAAACATTTGCACTGTGACACAAAGAATGTTGGCAGATAAAAAATTTCAGAGTGCATTGTCCTTTTGGAGTGCTTTCTAACTTTATGTCGTACAAGTCTGGCACAACCGGCATTAAATAAGCTTAGATAATTTGTACCCAGGTTTTGATAGTAGCTTTGCCGCAATTTTTTCAGCGTATCCTCAAAAAATGCCTCCCCGCACAATTATTCAAATCACTGGATCACCTCGTGACAGTACGCTGCAGAATATCAAGAGAACTGATAAGTCAAGTTTTATGGAGAATGTCTTACGTCAGGCTGATTTCTAAGTCAATTAGTTATAACTTTGAGTTAATGTAAACTTATGTCATCTCTTGAAAACTTCCGACATATCACCAAATCTCACACTGAATCAACGAAATAACTCAAAATAACACGATTGATGTTTGGTGCCATTGTCGGATAAAATTCAATAACTTTATTCATGATTTTCAAATAATGGTTTACAAGGATTTCCTTAAATTTCTATCAAGAAGTCTGATGACAGAACAACTAAATTCAGGGTTTTCGTGAGGTCCTTAGAAGTTCATCTATAACTTTTCAAATACGAAGCTTAAAAATAAAGAAACAGAAATCTTATCACTAAGAGGACTAATACAGACACTCAATTTGAAAATCAGACTGACCAGTTAAGATATTAGCATCCAATGAATGAGGAAAAGAAGGGGTTTAAAAATAAATTGTTGCTTTTTCAAAGCGACAAAGAGGACTATGTGTGCAGTATTCAACTCTCTTGTTCGCTAGGGATTCAACTATTACCACTGATCCAAATGTTACGGGAGAATTGAAAACGTTTGACTGACTAAAGACTGTTGTATTGATTTCAGTATGTTTTGGATGTATTTGTTTTGCTGAACTTTTGAACTCGTTTGGTCATATCTCTGACTCCGGAAGTTTTGGTTTCAATTCATCTTTGGTATGGCATTTTGAAGTTTTTGCTCCGGGAATCTAAAAAATCGAAGGTTCGGTTTTTAATTGTTATGAACATTAATATAACGGTATTTGGGCCGACTACTTGTAATTTATAAATAAACTTCGGTTACTAGATTAATGTTTGGTTCTATTATTATTTAGTACCGTAGGTTACAAGCAAGTCGATCTACTGTGCTTCAATAACGGAAGAGAGTGAAACCTTGGACGTAACAACAACAACCTACAATTAATTTTCGTTAAGACACTAAAGTCTTGCACCGATTATCATATACTTTGTGCGACACGAATGAGTATAAGGCGAAATATATTCATGCTAAACGTTTCTGCGATTTGAAGCACTCAGAAAATTGATTTTCTTTGCTTGTTCCAAGCCTCCTCTCTTCATTGTTTAAACATCTCTATGATTTATCTAATGCTATGGCTATTTATAACCTGTACTTATGGTGGCTGGCCACTGTTTTGAACCATATAAGCGTCGTGCTTGAAGTTCACTAACTTCTGACATTCACTAGTCACTTCTTGTAGTGTTATATTTGGACATTATTCAATTTTACTCAAAATTCTAGATCTGATATTTGCATACTCAGGCGACTGCGAGCTGCGTACAAAAGCAAGACACTTGAACTAGTCTTCTGTCACTGCCGATAATTTAAAACGCTCACCCACACATCATCTGCAGGTTTTGCTAACTTAAGACATTGGTAACGAATACTGAACAAAGATGACTATTCACCAAAGATTTTCTACAAAATTACGTCTGTTGCACCAAAAACAAACGTCTCTGAGACTCTTGGGGAGAAACAAGTTGGTCTAGCGTTTATCTCCAACTGCGTCAAGTTTGCGTAGCAGTAGTCAAAACTTTGAGGCATCATCAGACTTGAATACATCTCATTTCTTGAACTACTATTCAAATGTAACAACAACCAAACTATAAAAATGTAATTCATCGATAGAATTAATGATGTGATCAAAATGGGATTCGAACGGATCATCTGCAAGCCCATTTTGGTTCAGGTTCATTTTCTGGGTTAGAGCTTCTGGGATACAAATCTGAAACTGCCCGTAACGTTTTTCTTGACGCTTCAGCAAAGCTCAAACTTGGTCAAAAGTAAATGACATCTTGATAAGTTGACTCCGTCGCCACTTGATACATCTTGTAACGACCAAGCTACCAGTATTCGGTTTGAACGTAGGACTGATGAACCAAAATTATTTCGAATAGGCCAGACTACGTTCTTTTGTATAGCGTACGAAGTGTTTTTGAGATACTCGTATTAAATTATATCAAAACGCAAACTCTGTGTCCAATATAAACGTTCGAATTTAGGAAATAGAACAAATTGTGTCAAAAATACAAAATACTTCAAACGGTACAGCCTGTGCTAT